TTTTTTTTGTAAACAGAAATATGTGAAAGCTTTATTATGTAACTAATTATTAATGAGAAAGAATCATATTATATTGACATGCTCTCTTACAGGCTATTGATGTCTGGCTGGCAGCTTGTCTTATATTTGTCTTCACGGCCTTGATAGAATACGCCCTGGCTAATTATCTCCTAATTCTAAACGTAAGTTAGGAGACTATTTCTATTGTGAAAATACCAGTAGAGTTAATTGTGATGCTGCATGTTTACATCAGGTATATCTGACAAACAAACAAACAAAAAAAAACTAATAAACATACACAACTCAATAAGTAGCAACAAAAACCTCACCAACCAACAGCATAAAACAAACACAAAATAAAACAAACACTAAGAATGAAGTCCTCAGGGTTTTTGCACTCACAGACTTTTCACTCCAAATTCACCGACAGGCCCCACGACATGCACCCCAGCAAAACCCGGCCAAATTCACCGACAGGCCCCACGACATGTACCCCAGTAAAACCCGGCCCATATAATGCTAAAATGGAACCATAACCTCATAAACTGCTTGGCAATATAATGGTAATCCAAATGGTAGTTATATTGGATAGACAATATGGTTACTATCATTTATTGATATGATGAGTATGATTTATATACCTGTTAATGCTACATTCTAATTGTATCTACAACATGAACGTTTTCGCTAAGTTTAACGTGAGTGTGTAACTCCAGGCCCCCGTCTTATTGATTCAATCGTAAATCCTCCAATCAATCGCAAGTTTACAGTCTCCTATCTCTTATATTTGTTTTTATAGGTTTTTTATTCTCTTCTCTCATAAGGAAAATTGTACGTTATTTTTAATATTTTATAAAAAAATTACAAATAATCTTCACATCGGCCTAAATAAATTTGCAAGTGAACTTTAACATTTCCATGCAAGGTTACAAATAAATTTTCAAATGAAAAAAATACATTTGCAAATGAAGTTACACATTTACAGAATTTTTTTTTTTTACATAAACAAAATTATTGTTTCAAATTTTAAACAAATCGCACGTACAGCTTGTACAATTTTCTCGACCGGCATCCATAGAAATTTCCAATTATTTCTTTTCTTTTAAACAATAATTTTTCAAAATTTCCTTCAGAGAATAAAAAGGGTTAGGGTTAGGGTTAGCATTATGGGTCGGGTTAAGTTTGCTGGGGTGCATGTCGTGGGGCCTGTCGGGGAGCAGTGAAAAGTATGTGAGTGCAAACAGGCGCGTACGCAGGGGGGGGGGGGGGGGTCAAACCCCAACCCCTTCCCCCTTTGGTATTTTTAATGTGTGTATTTTGGAGGAAACCCCCCCCCTTGCTACTTTTTTTTTTTTAATTAAAAAAAAAAAAAAAAATATACCAATGGCTGACCTAAAAAAGTTGAACTTACCCCCCCCCCCCCCTCAACGGAGCAAAGTGTCAAATTCCGAGACCAAAAAAAAAGCAAAAAAGTGTCCTCTTACCTCCACCCCCCCCCGCTTATTCAGCGGCTGGCTGAGTCGTTGCGAAATTTTCGGCTCGATTTAAAATGTTAACCCCCCCCCCCCTTGAAAAAATCCTGCGTACGCGCCTGAGTGCAAAGAAAGAAGAAGATACTATGATAAAAAAAGAAAACGGTTAACAAAAAAAAAATTACGATCGATATCAATCGCAAATAAGTTGCGATTATCAGCTCTTGACAAGTCGACAGGGCCCAGGTCTCCAGCATAACTGATACAATTTCAGTCAGGATTTCAGTGTTACAAGTTAAGGCACACGATTTTCTTGAAAATGTGGTCAAAGACCTGACGTGACGAGAAATATTGTGCGGTAGTCGGCCTTTTAAGCTTTTGATAAATCCGGTATGACTAGTGGTTGTTTTTATAGAACTTTTGAAATATTGTAACTTTATACTTCTTTGATTCTTGTTTGATAATTCATACAGAAAAAACGTAAAGAAGCCATTGAAGCAGCCGAAGCATCTCGTAAATCCTCTACAACGTCTCGTGATAGTCCACCGATCAAACATGGATTAAGCGATGAACAGCTTAGTAGGTACCGTACGCAGTATGCCGTTCCACCCAAGGGACAATCGACAACTAATGGTAGTGATGAAGAAACCCAAACTGCTCAGATCGTCGTCACACCGTGGACAGCTGACAGAGTAGATTGTTTGGCTAGACACATTTATCCAGCCGCCTTTACCCTGTTCAACCTAATTTATTGGCCCGTCTGTATTTGGATGACACCCGATTACACTGATCAGTAAAAGATTACATATTCTACTAGATAAAGTGTGCATTTTCTTGTTCCTCCTCCTTTTCAAATTTCTAAGAAAGAAATCTTTATAAAATAAAGTAAAAATACGAGATCCATCACTCATTCACGTCTTTTTATATTAAAAATTGAAATCTCCACAGATTTTACTGTGTCGTAGTAATGCATTGTCATCCCGGAACTTAATTTTTAAAAGTAATCCGACAAGCTCGCTCATATTTTGCTGGGGGAAGGGGGGGGGGGGGGTGGGGGCTGGGGGAGGAGGAGGTTCTCCGATATATTCAAATTCAATTTGAAATTAAAATTATCAAAAACACCGGGATAGAAATGTTAAAACGAATAGCTGCTGTACAATTGTTTGATCCAATCGCAATGGTCTATTGCTGAGAAATTCGTGACATAGATAATAAGAACACAAAGTAAGCGTATCACAAAGCTACAACAGAGGGCGGCAAGAACCATTCTTAATTGTAATATGATTGTATACATCCTCGAAAGAAACGTTTAAAAAAATTGAACGCGTCAAATATTTTCGATGTGTATTTAACTATAAATGCATTCATGGTTTATCCGCTGATCAAAAATATAAAGAATCGCTATCATAAACTCACGTTCTATGTTGGGAAATGGCGTTTAGCTGAGTAATGGCGTCCCATGTGAATTCAAAGGGTGAATTTTATATGACATCTATATATGAGGATTGTTTTGCAAAGAATTTTATCGTACTTAGAGCAAACAGAGTATGCAAAATTTAATGAAGAAAGCAATGGCTTATTTGAAATGATTTGATGTTACAACAATTATTAATGTATTCAAAACGACATGCATGACGTTTCTTTGCAGACAATTTCTTATTGATGCGATTTGTATGTTTCATTTTAAATCCATGACTAAATGTTTATTTAGAAATTTTGAATACTTAATTATAGACATTTTCCTTGCATGTCCTTATGAGATTTTCTTTATCAAAATATTAGAGACTGACAAAGCCGTTTGTACTTTTGAGTTGCCTATTAAAGATGTTGAAACTCTTAGATTGACCTTTTACCTTTCATACTCATCTTTTCTCTACTGTTAAGTTCCTGATGATGCACCCCCTCCCTTATCAGGATCTTTGCTCTCGTACTTGTATTTTATGCACAATGATGTTCACTTCAATTCAAAATATTATGCCAGCCAACCTTTCGATCCACCTCCTCTACCCGTTGTCTTTTTCTTACTCATGACCATCTCCCAAAAGAATTTGATGATGACACCAAACATGAAAAGTCCGACGTTAGTATGTTACATTGCAATGCCAGAAGTTTATCTAAAGAATCATGACAATATATTTCTTTCATAACTATTAATTTTTCCGTTATGGGCATTTCTGAAAATTGGCTTTCTGATCATCATCCGCCCTCTACAATAATTGACATTGACGGTCAACTGGACAACTGGTCGTGGAGTCGGCTTATATGTATTAAACTCTTTATTATATCAAGTTTATATTGAATTTTGTATTTCATACCAAAAGTGCCGAGCTACTGTGTATTGAAATAGAAATGACAACAGGAAAGAACATGTATACAGACCACCTAGTGGCAATATCAACTTGTTTTTGGACGATCTTAAGTTCCTCCTTGATAACATCAATTTCAATGATTGCTCTGGGGACATAAAGCTAAAGTCTCTCCAACCGTCTACCAATATTAGCCTCTCGGTCGGGAACAGTGTGCCGGTTCGGACTCTGAAGTACTCGGCCCTGAAAACCACCTTTTCTTGGCAAACATTGAACAGGATAAACGCAAAGAACCATTCATAACTCCAGAAAATGAATACATTGACGACGATGAAACAGACCACCATGTCAAGGGCGATGATGCTAATGATGATGACAACGGCCTACTATCGAGATGTGTTAATAACAATACTCATGATGATCAAAAACGACCTGTACATTATCGTAATAAAGAATCAGGTGAAACAGCAAACCCAAAAGGCCGAAATAAGTGTATGAAAATTAAGAATAAACATGGACTGACAATAGCACATCATAATACATTATGCTATGAATGCTTTGGGAACTACCCTGCACAAGGCATAAGGGCTTTATTTATGTAGTACCCTATTTCATTTTCAAAATTTGTTCATGAATTATTTTGTATCAATGTATTTTTTAATTCGAGAATGAAATAAATGCGAATTGAATTGAATATAAGGCCGTTTCTTTCAAATATTGACGAAGTGAAAGTTACTATTCAGGAGCATGGATTTGATGTGTTAGCACTAAATGAGACTACTTGTCTTTGTGATGCCATACATGATGCTAGAATTGACATTGAGGATCATGTTGTATACAGCAAAGATCGTAATACTCGCGGGGGAGGAGTTCTAATCTATGTGAATGAGAAAAGATTGAATCATCATAAATTGAGGCAAGATTTATTTATGGATCAATTAGATGAAGTGGTTGCCACTAAAATAAACCAACCTAAATCATCATCGATAATAGTCATTGCTTAGTACAGACCGCCTGGTTCAAGAATTGCTTTATCTGATGCAATTGAAACGATGTTAATAAAGGTGGAAGACGAGGACAAAGATATTATGTTCTTAGGCGACATTAACTGCTATTACCTTGCCACATTTACTAATAACTGTTATATAAATTTATGTTAAGATAAAATATGTGTGATTTTTCATTATTTCAGGTCATTGAAAGAGCAACAAGAGTCACCTTTATTACCTCTACAATTATTGATTTAATTTTTACAAATAATGAAAACAAAATTATTGAAAGTGGTGTAATGCATACAGAGACCAGTGACCATTCACTGGTTTACATTGTATGGGGGAAAAGCAGACATTCTGTTTTAAAACACGTCTACAGAACCTACAGTAGTTATAAAACAATTAATGAAAATTATTTTTGCCCTGCATTGAGTGAGATCGATTGGAATACTGTATATATTGTACAAGATGTCAATATGTCACTACTTGCCTTTGAACCATTGTTTTCTCCCGTGTGTAATATATATGCACCAGATAGAGTAAGAAAAAACAAGTCACCTTGGATTGATGTAAAAAATATAGAATTTAATTAATAAACGAAATCACCTGAAAAATTTGCCATCAAAAGAAGCAGAAAAGAAGACTCAAAAAAACTTTACAGAAAATTAAACGTTATGTAACTGCGAGAATAAATTCTAACACAGTTTAGACTAAAGTTTCGTGTAGTTGCATTGCATAAAGGTGGAACAAAAGAAGCATGAAATTGTAAGTCAATTTCAATTGGCCTATTTTGTCAAAATTGTAGAAAGAACTGTATTTAATCAACTACGAATTTTGAAACGGAAACGGTACAAAGAAGACGAAAGACTTGGGGCATGGCTAATCGTCAACGAAACAGAACTTTCTGGCTCATTTTTCTTGATTGAGGTGTTATATTAAAGGGCAGAAATGAATTTTTATAGAAATATGATTTTCTCTTTGAAATGGAGATACTGTTCGCCAAATGATATTTTAGTACCCTCTCTTCAAATTGTTTGTGATCACCTACGCGTGAAATATGCATCATATGAGTTGCATCAAATGAAAAAGGATCTAAGCTTTACAAATATGTGTCATTTATTAACTGTAATTGTGATTAACTTATGATAACCCATCGATAATTTTCGGTTTCGTTTTTTTCTTGGACGCACTGTATAATACGATTGATACCAAATAGAGCCCGGTCTTCTTTACAGTAAAAATCTCGGGTCACGTCTGACTCAAAACCATGTTTAAGAGAATGAAATATTTGCCTTATAAATTGTATTCCTTATTACGAAATACATAAGGAAAAACAGGATAATCGTTGATATTTCAATGTCACACATCATCAATTACCCGAGCGGTTTATTTTTACACTTTTTTCCTGTTACTGATGTCAAGAAGGAGAAGAAAAAACCCCAAGATAATCAATAAATACTATGACAATTCAAATCTTACCAATTATTGCACAACTTTAATATTTAAATGTTTACTATCATTATTACTTTTATTATTACTATTATTATTAGTAGTAGTATTATTAGCAGTAGTAGTATCATTATTATTATCATCATGATAATCATTGTTAATATTATTATAATTATTATTATTATTATTACATGTATTTTAATTAATATATTACTCTGTATGTTCCTAAATTTACGAATAACTTCTGTCAATGTACAAATTACTTTACCGTTAATGTCTTTCAAATTGTGTTTTCTTTTCTCTCGGACTATTAATTTTGTTTGAAATGTTTCTTGTGCTTTATTATGATTCATACGCTGTACATGTTGTATTTGTTTTGTGCACCCTACCAATGGCACACTTGTAATTTGTACTACACTGCGTCATGGACTTGATATTATGAATCATGACTTCGTGCTTTGACGCATAATTGGGGGATTTTTTTAAATAACATAACCATGAATATTATTACCTAAACGTTCTGATCTCTGTGTTTATTGCTATAGAGCAAACGAAAAGGTCTTGATCTGGTTAGAAAATTGGCCTATTCCATATCGTCAAAATAATTGAGTTCTTAATCATGAAAATTCGGGTACAAAGACTTGAATAATAAACCATAGGCAATTTCATTCGCCTGGTCTGTCATATTGAAATGTGTGAAATTTACGATGAGGCAGCTATCGGGGAACTCCACAATGGTAGATCGATATAATATCGAAAGCCTAGCTTTGCGATCGTGTTCGATGGATTTTCTTCCTGATGTGTAACAGTGATTTTGTCACCTAATTTCTTCCTGATGTGTAACAGTGATTTTGTCACCTAATTTTTGTTCATCGAGTGGCTTTGATTAATACATTTAAAAAATAAAAGTTATGTTTCAGCCCCGAGATGCACGTACTTTCAAGATCCTTGAAGTTCTCAAAAATCTGTTTAAAATAGCCAGCACTAAATAAATCGTCCTTGTTTTTACGAAGTGACGGTAGTGAGGAAAATCGTAACGCAAAGTGAATGCAATTTTTTTTCTCTACCGTCACTTCGTGAAAACAGCGAAATGTTAAAAGCAAACCTCTTTTGGGTCGTAACTTCTTAGTTTTTATTTCACTACACTGTGTTTGGTTTACTCTGCCAGAGTCCCACAACACTTAGGCTGTATCATTATTTGAAATTGAGAACTTTGCTAAAATACAGTGTATTGTACTTATCAGGCCTATCTTTAAAAGACAATATGATGATAGGCCACAG